GCACCGGTTCAAAGGTGCGCTCTTACAGCAAGAGTCAGAGAGAGACTGAGACGACGCCATTCACCCTGTTTTACAACCCGTCATCCACCCCGCCCTCTCCGAATCGCCAGCGCGCCGCGGATGGGCGAGCCGTGTCCGTGGCAGATGACCACCTGGCTGCCAACGGGAAGACGACGGTGGAGCGGGTCGCTGTTGTGCAGTATCGCGTGTCGCGGAGGCAGCTGTGTGAGCTGGTGATGCACGTACGGCGTTGGCCCGACACGACTGTGTCACCCGCTCTCCTGTTTCCGGCTGCTGCGGACACGACAGATGGGGGTAGCCCACCCCCTTCGTACGTCCTTCGCATGTCCTCACGAGTCGATGTGGAGACGGCGTTGATTGGCATCAGCAGCGAGTCCAGCGAGTTCAACGCAAGCGCGGCGCCGCTGCCGTTCCGGGTCTACGAGTGTGTGGCGGTACCGAGGCGGGCAGCGCAGCCTGCACCGCGACGGTGGCGGCGTGAACTACCCCTCTTGCCCGATGTGGGCCAAGCGCCGTCCTTTGTGGCGTCAGAGAAGCTTGTGCCTGTCAGTGAGCGACACGGGGTGACAGGACACTGGCCAAAGGTGACGCAGGGCTGTTTAGTGCTCGGGCTGGTGGCGGGGCATCGCGAGTTCCCGCTGCCCTTTCCATCTCTGCAAGTGCACTCGGTACTGGCTGGTGGCCCGCCTCCCTCTGCCGGCAGCGGGGCAGCGGCGCTAACAGCAGCGGCTCTTTTGCGCATTCAGCCTTACATCGCGGCGCCGAAGAGAGTTTTTTTTAGTTCGGTGTACCTAGTCCCGCCGGACAGCTCTACCGGTATCAGATATCTGCATCTGTCGGACAAGAGTTTTAAAGCGAGGATCAAGTGGTCGCCGCTGTGGAGTAGCGCGAGCTCCCCTCCCTCCTTCTCTTTTAGACTCTCCGTTCCCTGGAGCTCTGACGACGATGCCGGCATCTCGGTCGTCGTCGCGGACATCCCGCAGCGGGGTTGCCTAACGTCGCACGAAATTACGAAGTGCTTGCACACAGGGCAGTCCTTCCAGCTCCAACTCGTGGACCCTCATGAGAGGGGAGCCTCCATTGAGTTCACGTACGCGATGTTTGATACCCATCTGAAGAGAGTGCGCGCCTTCAAGCATGTGTATCTGGTGGACACAGTGAAGCTGGTGACGCTCGGCGCGGATGGAGAGAGTCCTTTGGGATCTTACACCGTCACCGTCGAGGTAGAGACCGTGCCACTCGTGGTGGTGGTTGGTGCAGTGCTGGTGGTTCTCTCTGTGGTCGCTGTCGTCACTGCCGGCGTGCGCGAGCGCCGGCGGATGCTCTCGCATGCTCGAGCGTGGTGCAGCAGAGCGTGGATGATAGTGTCCACTTGTGTCAGCGGAGGGGTTGTATCGGTGGCACCGTCGTACGAGATGGTGGCACGTGAGCGTGACGAGCTGGGCACCAAGGTTGACTTTGCGTGAGGTTTCCGCCAGCGCAGGTGGTGTCGGCGCATATATGTACGCGTTGGAGGAAGGGAGGGAGGGAGGGAGGGTGGAGGCCGGTCTCATTTTTGAGGAGGGAGTTCGGTGGATCTGTGATTCACACATCATTCTCCGCGCTTGTCGTCTCTTTCCTTCCTTTTCCTCTGGATGGACCGTCGTCGTGGTGGTGTCTGATGCTGTGCTACCGCCCCTCCACCCCGTGACACTCTTTCTCACACACACACACACACATTCATACGGCACGCCTGTCATTTCCCGCCTGGTTCGGTGTCATCGGCGTTTCTTCAGCGCAGCCGAAGGAGAGGCCGTGGTCTGGCACAGGTGCACTGGCGCCTTCGCGCCGGTTACGCCGTCCCCCGGTGGCGTGGAGAGGGAGCGAGAGGGTGTGCGGACTTCAGCGCCACCTCTGGTGCTCCGATCCGACGCGCCAGCCCACCGCCCCTTCTCTCTCTCTCCATCTCTCACCACAGTTCCTCTGTCGGCGTGCCTTCACTCCTCGTCCTCCTCTCGCCTCCTCTCGCCTTCTTCCTTTCCCCTTGCCACTTCTCCGCGCGGGGACGCACATCTCCCTCCCTCCCTCCCTCCCTGTTCTCGCCGCCTCCCGCCCTCTGCGTGCAGAAAGAGAGCGTGTCTGTCTGTCTGTGTGTGTGTGTCGGTGATCTTTTTTTTTTTTTGTCGTTGACTTGCGTCCTCCTCCTTCCTCACTTGACACTCATCGTCCGTTTCGTGCTCAGCCAGCGGAGTCTGCAGTGGTGGGGCACGTCCTCAACTTTCCCCCTCCTCCTCCTCCTCCTCCGCCAATCCACTCCCGCCGAGACGCGAAGCGGGGTAGCGCCTTCAGTTTCCATAGCCCTGTGCCACGGCTGTGGCGCGAAAAGGGGGGAGAGGAGGGAGCGGGGTGGTTTGAGATGCTTCGCCGACGTGCGATGGCCGCGCTGTCGCGGCGGTCGCTGGCGGCGTGTGCTCCGTCCGCCTGCTGCGTCCGTGTGCGCTTCTGCGCCTCCGGCGCTCGGCCGCCGGAGAAGCCTGCGGCTACGTCGCCGGCGCCGGATGCTGCGCAGACCCCCGCCGTCCATCCGCCGAAGGCGGGGTCGGTGGTGGCCGGCGGCGATGGGGGTGCGGCCGCGGCCGCCGCGGCGCCGTCTTCATCGCCGCTGAGGGGCGGCGGCGCTGGCGATGGCGCTGGCGATGGCGATAATGGCGGGGGCGACGGCGCTGGCGGCCCTTCGGCGGCGGCCGGGGACGCTGCGGGTGGGGTGGGTGCGCCGGCGTCGCCGCCGCCGCCGCGGCGGGACGTGAACGACGCCTTTTCCAGGGACCGCGCGGTGCCGCGCGGGTTCGAGGCGTTCTATGCGAAGAG